TAATTTTGTAGAAGTTTTTGTTTCTGAAGAGATCTCAATCATGTAGCCAAAACATATAGAACATTAAGATTGGAAATAAGACCGTTTATGTTAAACACATTACTTTAAATACGAAGCGCCACTACGGTCTGTTAAGATATATTAAACTATTATATATATTCATTTAAATGAATTAATTTCAGAAATGATAATTGCGTGCTGATATGGTTGTCGGACTTTCAACGCAATCAGTCTGAAATATTAATAATCCTCAAATTTCCCAAATTAATCTTAAAAAACTGTAATAAACTTATTACAAAAAATATTGCCTCGGCCGGGAATCGAACCCGGATCTCTTGCATTCCGTGCGAGCACCCTAAGTCTTATTTCCAATCTTATTGTTTATACGAGTACATGCTCGCCTACAATGCGTAACTCTCTACACATCGGTTATTGCTAAGATCTCGGTCTATAGCCTAGAGGCTTAGGATGGAATCGCACGAAATGCAAGAGATCCGGGTTCGACTCCCGGCAATAGTTTTCGCAATAAGTTTATTACAGTTTATTACAGTTTATTACAGTTTTTTAAGATTAAATTTGGGAAATTTGAGAGGATTATTAATATTTCAGATTGATTGCGTTGAAAGTTCGACAACCATATCGACACGCAATTATCCTTTCTGAAATTAATTCATTTAAATGAATATATATAATAGTTCAACATCTTAACATTTAGACCGCTTCGTATTTAAAGTAATGTATATAAAACATTATTAAATTTTGTGATCAACGATTCAAATATAATATACTTTGCGCATCAAGATCCGTGGTTGGCTCTTATATACTTTTTATTTATTTAACTTATTGTAAATATATTATAATGATAAATTTGTTTTAAATAAACACCGCTGTTATTTAATGATAAATTTTTCAAATCTAAAAAAAAATACTTCTATAGTGATCAAACGTAACCTTATTATGTGTATCTACGAGTTAGAAAGGACTGGAGTTTATGGTATATACATAAACGTAAAGCAATAGCATATAAGCAGTAAATAAATGGCCAATTACAATAGAGACCATAAGGCCAATAGCAAAACCAATGTTACAATTTCCTGCTTACGTCTTATTGTCTTACGTTTTTAAGAGTACGGTTAAGTTGCCGCTACGAATGCTTTGAAGCATTTGATTGATCAATTGGAAGAAAGAATTTTACTAATTAACCAATCAAAAAATGCTTCGAAGCATCGTAGCGGCAACTTGACCGCATCTTATATGTGCTATGGACTTTATGAGAGCTCGCGACAATCGCGACTGAAATGTTCTAAGGTGCCTCATTTACTTTGTTCAAATCTATCAGTCACATTAAAAAAAATATCTTATTTTGTTTACCAGAATATCGATAAAAATCAAACATTTCATCTTTATTACATAGATGGCTGTAGGAAAAAACACATAGCAATAAAAACACATAGCAACAAAATGTTAATTATTTAATGGTTTAATTTTAAAATACGTTACATGTGTGAGATAAAATGTTTAGTACAGGTACAAAAACACAAAACGTTTATAAATTAGATTAACAATTGCAACTGCGGCAGCTACCACTTAACGGTTATTTGTGACTATATTGTCATTTCAAAAATTACAATTTGTAATCGCAAAAAAGAACAGTTCATTTTTTATTTGTAAAGTTCAAAGCTGCCCCTGTACAAAATTGCTCCCTTCTTCCCTACGTACATTTTTTCAACGTCAGGCGTTCATGCGAAAAAGATCTCATAATTTATATTTCTTATTTCAACATGTGCTTCTAATATTTCTTGTTCATAATCTCCTCTGACCATAATTAAATTCTAACATTATATATGTACATTCGCATTACCATTATGTTTATTAGTGGTACATATATCATTTTTTATAATTTGACGTTACCCGTTCTCGCCATAGACCAATGAATTAGTTTAGAATACGGACGTTTTATAAATGGACATCAACATATATTATATTATGGTTGCTTACTAACACCGTAGATTATAAGTATTATATGACATTTGCGTTTGTATGTGAGATCCTTCAACAATTCGGTCTATTATATTAAACTTATGTAATTTTTTTGAGTTGCTGAGGAGAGTTCAGTTCGTAACGTACGAGAGCAAGTCCGAAACGTACGTGCTGTATACACACACATCTCATAAGAAGTGAAATAATAAATTAATCAGTTGTCACTATGTATGCTCGTTTAAATCTGACGATCTTGTATTTATTTTGTTATTGCTTTGCAATTTTACTAGCGTGTTAGAATAATTTAATTTTTTTTTGTTAATATAATTTATTATTATCAAAAAATTATCAAATATTATTTTAAAATAATATTAACATCTATTACGTACATGTACTAAGTTGATCAGAAAGTTCGTGCCGTTTTTTTAGTATCAAATTGTATTTATAATATCTTCGTAAAAAATGAATGAACTTTAAATTTGAAAAAACGATTTTGAAGCTTGAAATTTCTACTCGAAAGATTACTATGTTGTTTGAGTTTCTGTGAATTAATAATTTTAACATAAAGAAAACTATGAGCTGAAAAAGATGAATTTTTTTGTAACTTTGGGTCTATTATTTGCCCAAAAAAAATTTGTGAAAATTTTCGGCTTTACATCCAAATAAAAGCTTAAAGTTTTCCCTACAAAATCGTTTTTTTAAAATGTTCCTAAGATTTTTTTGTTACTGAGTTATCGCAAATTAAATAAAAGAAACATTTTGATTTTAATTTTGCTCATAATTTTGTTAAAAATCATCGTACCGCATTTTAAAAAAACAATTTTTAAAGCTAAAACTACTCTATTAAATGGCATAATAACAACAACAAATATATTCTGTGTATAATTTTGAGCTTGAAAAAACGGCTAAAAACAACACGAACTTTCTGACCAACCCAAAAAATATATCTATAATTATTTTACTTATCCATTTTTATATTATTCATAGATATTAATAGCGAACATGAAAATGAAAATATCGTGTCCAGTAGAACATTACCATGGACAATGCCAATGGCTTTATCAATGTCATTGAAGAAAAATAATAAAAAACCTATAAGACGACACGAAGAACACTATGATGAAAAAGGCAAGGACACAAAGATTTCAAAGATCTTTCAGCTGGCAATAACTGCACTTTCTTTTCTGGCATTCGGTGGTTATCTCCTTACACTCATAATTACAGCAATTCGTCGCAATAATGGAAATGGAAACGGAAATGTCGTCATATTATCAGTAATAATTAAATTAAATTTATACAATAATTATAATAAAATTCTTATTTTTAGAAACTACAATAAATAATTAAAAAATATATTTAGCAATTATTTAAATGATAGGCATTTTTATAGCTGCAAAGTTTATTTGTTATAGATTTAACTTAAATTGATTTTATTTCTTTATTTAAATATAACTTTTCTATTTATATAGTTAGACATATAATTATAAATAGAAAAATAATTTCTTATTATAAAATTATTATACTATTGTAAGATCTTTTTATATTTTTTATAATTTAATTCTAATGAGCTGTTATATAATATTTTAAGAAGCTGTATATTTTTTTTAAAGATTATTAGTATACGTATAAAAAACAGCAGCTATATTTATTTGGAAAATCTTTTAATATTTATGATAAGAATACGAATTAATATTTTATAAACATGTTTAATTATGCGAACAATTATTAATTATTTTTTCCAGAATCTACAAAGCCTACAAAAACTAAACCGCCCCAAACGAAATATTTTAATATTCGATCCAATGGAAAATAACTTCGAAACAGACAAACTCTATGAAGGAATGATTATGCTTTCGAGAAGTTACGCCTTATACAATTGACCACAAATTGTAAACTCTGTGTTTTACAGCTTTATTATTTATGCATAGTTATATTACTATATTAAATGATAAAACATATATTAAATATAACGTAATTATATATAACATAATAATACATGCATATAGTTGTAATAAATTAAAGCTTATATTTCATTAAAAAGTGCAGTAAAATTTTAAATGTAAATTTTGCAAAAAATAAATTAATAAAATATCATTTCCAATATTATTTATTAAGTTAATTGCTTTTATATATTGTGGCACTAAAATTATATATATAATCATAAAATCCGAATGAATGATAAAAACAAAAACAATAAAATGAATTAATAGATCCTTGAAGAACTTTTTCTTATATTTTTCTTTTCTTACATTTTTATAATATGCTTAAAAATTGTGCCGATCGATTAATTCTATTTAAGAAATACATAGCAGATGCAAATTTGCAGACTCTTGAAAATCCTAAAACCTAATAAAATCGAATAGAAGACCGTGCTATGTACATATTTCGAAGAATATTCTTAGCGTGTGGGTAGAGAGGCAGCTTCAAACATGGCTCTTCAAATAAACATTTAAGTGGCTGTGTACTCCGCAGACCTATACGTAAAGATAACCATATGGCTCTTGCAAAGATATCATCGTCTACACATATGTCTCTATACCATTGTTCTATCGATACATAACTATGAATTCCCGTAAAAAGCTCTTCGAAATTTCTGATTACATGACGTTCATACAATCAAAAATTTCATGTCTGATAGTAGCGATTATAAGATATAATATCTATTTCGTTATAGCCATTTTTAATTTGGTTATTTTAAGTATTTCCATTATATTAATCAAGTTGTATATAATTATGGTGCTTAATAGAATTGCATTAAATTAAATAAAACTATAAGTTTTTAATGCTTATTACGATCATTTATAGTATTATTATTAGTAAAAATGCTCAAATATTTTAAAATAGAATATCTAAGTTAATTTTTGTTCTTAAATTTTTAAAGACTTTATATTACAAAAGGTCGATTAAAAAATATTCGAAATAATTTATATTTGAAAACAGCAAAATGCGAATATGCGATCAATTGAAGAAATCAAAACTGTACACACACACACACACACACACACACACACACACACACACACA